AAAAAAAGATTGGAGCAAGAAAAAGCAGCAAAGTCACGGTTTCAGCACGTTGATCGCTAGCCTCCAAGCGCTCCTATCCACCGCTAAATCCTTGGAGATATTCCAATTTTTAAGGTCTCTCTGAACTGACTCTTCCCAAGTGAGTTTAGGCAGGCCTCTACCTCTATTAACAACATCGGTCGGCTGTGGAACTCTCCTACGCACCGGTGCATCAGGAGGCCTCCGTTGGACATGTCCGAACCACCTCAGCCGATGTTGAACCAATTTCTCCTCAATTGGAGCCACCCCGACCCTATCTCGAATATCCTCATTTCAGATTTTATCCCTTCTTGTGTGCCTACAAAACCAACCCAACATCCGCATCTCTGCTACACTTAGTTGCTGGACATTTTGCCTTTTTGTAGACCAACATTCAGCACTGTATAGCATCGTCGTCCTATAGAACTTACCTTTTAGCCTTTGTGGCACCCTCTTATCACAGAGAACGCCCGAATCATGACGCCATTTCAACCAACCGGCTGCAATTCTATGTCTAACATCTTCATCAATGTCGTCATCCTTTTGTAGCATCGATCATAAATACCGGAAAGTCTCCTTCTTGGCCACCACTTGCCCGTCAAAGGCTAACGTCACCATCATCATGAGTAGCCATGCTGAAAGCGCACGTCATGCACTCGGTCTTCGTCCTACTAAGTCTGAAGCCTTTCGACTCTAACGTGTCCTTCCACAGCTCTAACTTTCTATTTACCTCTGCCTTACTCTCGTCAACTAGCACCACATCATCAGCAAAGAGCATACACCAAGGGATATCACCTTGTATGTCCCTTGTGGCCTCATCCATCACCAAGGCAAATAAATAAGGGCTCAATGCTGACCCCTGGTGTAGTCCTATTTTAATTGGGAAGTCGCTGGTATCGCCCCACATGTTCGAACACACGTCATCGCATCCTTGTACATATCCTTGATGAGGGTAATGTACTTAGATGGGACTTTGTGCTTTTCTAAGGCCCACCACATGACATTCCTCGGTACTCTGTCATATGCCTTCTCAAGGTCGATAAAGACCATGTGCAAGTCCTTCTTTTGGTCAATATATCTCTCCATCAACTGTCGTATTAGGAAAATCGCCTCCATGGTCGACCTTCCAGGCATAAACCCAAATTGGTTTTGGGTTACACTCGTCACTCGTCGTAGGCGATGCTCGATAACCCTCTCCCAGAGCTTCATCGTATAGCTCATCAACTTAATCCCACGGTAGTTACCACAACTTTGAACATCACCCTTGTTCTTGAAGATCGGTACTAAAGTACTTCTCCTCCATTCATCAGGAATCTTGTTTGACCGAAAGATGAGGTTAAAAAGCTTAGTTAACCATACTAACGCTCTGGCGCCCAAACATCGCCACACCTCAATAGAGATACCATCAGGCCCATTACTTTAGCTCCCTTCATCCTCTTAATAGCCTCTCCGATCTCTGCCTCTCGGATTCTCCTTACCAAGCATCTATTGGTATCCTCAAATGAGTCAACCAACTCCAGGGTAGAACCCTCACTCTCCCCATTAAACAATTTGTCGAAGTACTCTCGCCATTTGTCCTTGATCTCCCCATCCTTCACCAGTAGCCGATCCGACCCATCCTTGATGCATTTAATTTGGTTGATGTCCCTTGTATTCCTCTCCCGAATCGCAGCTATCCTATAAATGTCCTTCTCCCCCTCTTTCGTGCCTAGGCGCTGATAGAGTTCATCATAAGCCTGACCCTTCGCAACACTCACGGCACGCTTTGCAGCCCTCCTTGCTATTTTATAGCTCTCAATGTTGGTTGCACTCTTGTCGAGGTGGAGACGCTTGAAACACTCTTTCTTCTCTTGAATAGCCCTTTGCACCTCGTCATTCCACCACCAAGTGTCTTTTGCATCCTGCTTGCCTCCCCTACTCACACCAAGTACTTCTGCAGTCACCTTCCGTACACATGTTGCCATCTTTAGCCACATGTCATCTGCATCTTCTCCTTCTTCCCAAGGCCCCTCGCCTAGCATCCTATCCCTAAACGTCTACGTCGCTTCCCCTTTAAGTCTCCACCACTTCGTTCTTAGGGTCTTGGCACATTTGTCCCGGTGGACACGTATTCGGAATCGAAAGTCCGCCACCACCAGCTTATGCTGGGGGACAAAGCACTTCCCAGGTATCACCTTGCAATCTACGTAAGTGCGTCTATCCTCCCTCCTTGCAAGGATAAAGTTGATCTGACTTGAGTGTCGTCCACTATGGAAGGTCACTAGGTGAGATGCCCTCTTCCTAAAGAGGGTGTTCGCTATCAGCAAGTCGTTGGCCATCGCAAAGTCCAACACACCCTCCCCCTCTTCATTCCTACTACCATACCCAAACCCTCCGTGCACTCTCTCGAAACCTATATTTGTCGCGCCCACATGGCCGTTTAGCTCTCCTCCTACGAAGAGCTTCTCGCTGGCCGGCACCATACTGACCAAGGTGTCCAGATCTTCCCAGAATTTCCTCTTGGCGCTCTCACTAAGACCTACCTGAGGGGCATAGGCACTGATCACATTCATGTCACATCCCCAACTACCAATCGGACTAGGATAATCCGGTCGTCTTGCCTCCTAACATCTACAACTCCATCTTTAAGGCTTCTATCGATCAGGATGCCTACACCATTCCTACTCGATGAAGCCCCAGTGAACCAAAGCTTGAAGCCAGTATCCTCTACCTCTTTCGCCTTATACCCCTTCCATTTAGTCTCATGGACGTATAGGATATTAACACGCCTCCTAGTAGCTGCATCGACTAGCTCACGTAGCTTACCCGTTAGGGACCCTACGTTCCAACTACCCATTCGGGCCCTAGTTGGTTCGACTAGTTTCCTTGCCCTTCGCACCTGTCGAGAGAGATGCGAAGACCCTTGCTCATTTTCCACTACACCCGGGCGCCGATGTAACGCGCCATTAAGGAAATGACGACCCGGTCCTTGCTCACTTAAAACCATGCCCAAACCACGACATGGCGCGTCCCTCAGGGGGAGACGACCCGGCCCTTGCCCATTTGACACCATAACTGGGTTCAGATATGGCGCGTCGCTAAGAGGGTTACGCCCCAACGAATATCTATTGTGTTTCATCTCCATAGAATGACTATGTTTTACGTTGGCTCCCCAAGCCTATCACAACCCTCCTCCTTTACCAGGGCTTGGGACATGCTATGTTGAGACAACATAAGCGGAGTTTATGGTGAGATTCATTAAAAAAAAAAATATTATTTTTTCTTTTAGTTTTCAATTCAAATTTATCTCATTACAATTACAATCCAATATAATAATATAATGGAAAAATATTGTTTAT